CATATATATATATATATATATATATATATATATATATACACATATATTCATTTTTATATTTTTTAGAAAAGGTTATTACAAGATGTTGAATATAGTTCCCTGTGCTATACAGCAGAAACTTTTTAAATCTATTTTTCTATATAGTGGTTAACATTTGTAAATCTCAAACTTCCAAATTTATCCCTTCTCACCCCCTTTCCCCGATAACCATGATTTTTTACTATGTCCGTGAGTCTGTTTCTGTTTTGTAGATGAGTTCATATTGTCCTTTTTCTCTTTCTTTCTTTCTTTTTTAGATTCCACATATGAGTGATATCATATGGTATTTTTCTTTCTCTTTCTGGCTTACTTCACTTAGAATGATAATCTCTAGGTCCCTCCATGTTGCTGCAAATTGCATTATTTTAGTCTTTTTTATGGCTGAGTAGTATTCCATTGTATTCTTGATCATTCCTCATAGTAACAGAGATACACATTGTTTTTCTTTTAATTTTTGAAAATTTTTTATTGATGTGTAGTTGATTTACAGTGTCAGTTTCAGGTATACAGCAAAGTGATTCACTTATACATACACATACATATACAATTACATATATTTTTAGATTCTTTTCCATTATGGGTTATTACAAGAAATATAGTTCCCTGTACTGTACAGTAGGTCCTTGTTGTTTATCTGTTTTATATATAGCAGTTTTGACAGTTTGACAGAAAAACCCAATTTTGACCAAAAAACAAACCATACCACTTAAGACGGGTTCATTTATCAAGAATGTGAATGTCCTTCCCAAATTCTCAACAGAAACATCTGATTAACACACAAGGAAGAAATTGCTTATTTGCTTGTATCACATCGGGTCAGCATTTTTCGTACTCCCAATTATATGGTCATCTCTGGTTTGTGTGTCAGGGTTGCCCTTGGAGCTGTAAAAATACAGATACTCATATATTTCACATGAATGTAAAACTATACCCATATATTCATATAGAAATACATTTGTATTTATTTAAACATATTTAAATAGAAATATGTATTTATATATAGAGAGAGGAATATATTTCCTAAGTGCAGGGATTCTGATTTATTATATATCCAGGGCCTGGGGAGCTCTAGTGTTTGGAAAAAGTAAAAAAATTCCCATGTGGCCGATGATGTGCTAATTTAATTTAGGCTAAATCTCAACTGTCACCACCTCAACTGTTTAGCATATAGACCAGTGGAATGTTTTCTTAGGGAGTGGTCTCTATCATTGACACTATCTGGAGTTCCCAGTTCATGGTGCGGGTGGAGAGCAGACCACCTTTCTACAGTTTATTCAAGTATTGTTGTCTCACTCTCTTTAGTGACCCCCTGACACCTGCACACCGAGCAGACCAGTCACCCCCCCACCTCAGTCCTCTGGTGCTGCCTGCGCCCACCCCCCACCCCATCAATATGACTTTAAAAGACTTCTCCCTTTCTTCTTAAAGCCAGCTACTGGGAAAACTCCCTTGAGGTTGGGCTGTGTTTTACCAAGTTTGAATGCCAATTTTGACCAGAAATAAACCAAGCTGCAGCATAAGGAAATGTGTCCTTTGCATTTCAATTGTAATTCTAGGTGTTTCCCCCTCCCCTTTAGAAATGCATAATGGACATAAAATAAGGGAGGGAGCACTGAGTTCAAGGTTATGCACTATGGCCTGCTCATGGGAAGCCAACCAGCTTCAAAACATGGTCTTCTCTTAATCCTGAAAAATGCATCCTTAATCGTAAGTGTTGGGAATACAGCTTCCATCAAACACTGCTCTTGTTAAGATCCAATGGAATGGACTAGAATGGACCAGAAGTGATCAGACTAAATTTCTACCTCAGATCTGCAGAGAACTTTTCTGTGTGAACCTGGGCAAGTCACTTGTCCTCTTCGGGCTTCTCTCTGTCTGTCTGTCTGTCTCTCTTCCCCTAATGGAGTTAAGAGACCATGTGACACCTTGTGAGGATGAAATATTGTTGCCTGATTATTAGTAAAACCACAGCTGTAGCTCACAATTGTATTTCATTTGCTTTCCCTCTTTTTTTTCACTAATGTGTAACCCCTGAAAGTTGCAGTTAATTGATTTATATGCGTAGCCTTGGAACATAGGATATGAAGGGGGCACTTCTGCTTTGCTTTTTTCTTTCTTTTTTTTTTTTTTTTTTTTACAATTTAGGAGAACTGGTTTTCCTTAGCTTGCTAGCATGATTCACAGAACAGTCTAAGAATGCTTTAAACGCCTTAAGAGAACATAACCTTTTCAAGAGATCAGGAAATCTTTTACTTGAATGTTATGGACACAGATATTATAAAAGACGTGTTTTGATGTGTTTTGTCTTTTTCTTTAAAGAAACTCACCCCAAATATCCTCCTAAGTAATGCTTCGCTTAGCTGACTTTGATGATTTTTCTCTACATAAGTGAAAAAAAAACTTTGAAATATTTTAGAGTTAGGACTTCTTACTGTCTTGGGCAGATTTTTCTGGTAATGACTTGAAATGGTAACATTTGATCATTTTCACTAAGCTCATTCCAGCTTTTCTGTCCCCGCACAGAGCTCACTCTGTCCGTCACTAAGTTTTAATGTATAGAAAAGACAACTATCAAAGGATGCATTTAACTAAATTTTAAAATGTTTAGAAATTTTTGAATGTTTGCCCCAACAAAAAGGCAGTGTTAAGATGGATAAAGAGAAGGTTGTCTAAAATTTACCGAGCACATGGGAGTGCCGGAAATAATCCTTAAGACAAAAAAAAAATGCGTCACACTTCAATAGAGCAGATAATTTTCTTTTTCCA